AAAAGAAACTGAATAATGGAGAATCTGGACCAGCGTTGGGACAAGGGTTAACGGGAGACCCTCCCGCAACGTGACCTTAACCCTTTGATGAAACATATTTCAAGTAGCTAGCTCGGTTATCCCAAGCACCTTTTCACTTGTCTGTACCTTAAAGCGGAACGATCAAACGAAATTCTTCGATACCATATTAATAAACGAGGTTAGGAATCAGCACGCCAGCCATTTTTTAAGGACTTCCTTATTCGCTTTATAGGTTAGGGTAAATTTTAATCGCGCGAGCGAACATTCCTGAAAAGCAGCGCCGATTCCTTCGTTGATTTTCCCTTGTGCAATTCCCAGAATTATCCAAGCAGCAATTTGTCTGGCGTAATTGCAGAGGTCTCGACAAAAGAGCCCGTGCTCTCTCGCTACTCGCTTTAACCCTTTTCACGCGACATCGCAGCTGTCATCTCGCGAACGATGTTTGAAACCTAATAACACGAAGACACATATCCGAGCGGGGGAGGAATTTCCACGACAATCTGTCGGGAGCTTCTAATACGCGAAACAGGCCTGTTTTTAATCTGACGCGTGTTCGCGTGACAACCGTTGTTTGCCTGTTCCCACGTTAATCAGCGACAGATCTTAACAAAAAACCGCCTCTCGTTGAGCGTATTAACCTCCTAGCGTGTCTGATCGTTCCCCCTAACGACTGTGAACATTACACTTCGAACGTAGTAAATCTTGTTTCTTGTAAAAAAATTAAAGGTCGACCGATCATCTAGATGAGATTGTCGGGTTATTTGGCGTAGCAGCTTTTAAGAAGCTTCATTCACTTGCTGCTTTGTTGAAGTTAGGTTAGGTTTGATCGATGGGCTGATAGAAATTGAACTGGGCCGGACTCGAATCAAGTTAGGCATGCTAATTTTCAATTATTTCCAGGATAAGCAGATCTCGACTCGATTAATTATAGGTTAGGCCTCTTTGAGGTTATGGTCGAGTTAATGGCGGACGGATTGGTTAGGACCAGTGTAGCTGATTCAAGTTAGGTTAGTATTAAGTCCAGATTAACTTAATCGTCTTATATAAACCTATTTTCTTTCTTTTTATCTCGAAAATTATCCCAGCAAAATGAACCCTAAATATGTTCTTTCGTAGAACCTCTTGGTTCAATTAATTCTCCTCGGGCAGGAATTAAATAATCCACAATTAAGGCGAAGCTTTAAATTAAGGAAATTTTCACGGCTTGGCGATAAATTTTTCTCCGCGATAAATTTCTACCTTCCCCGCCAGTTGGAACGGTTCCCATTATTCGAAATCCGTTTAAACGGTTTTACCAACCGATACAGAGGTGTAATATTGTCGATGCAGGTGTTGCAAACAATTTTTAAAAATTTTTTTATTTTATTTATCATTCGATTGCGATTCGTCATTGTTTCTCTGGTCACGATCAGTGGGAAACAAAAGGGGAAGAATATTGAAAAAAAAAACAAAAATGGAACAATCGAGTAGAAGTCTCTCATTTTCTTCTTCATTCGATTAAAAAATCGATATATCGGAAAATATTGTTCGGAACAGAGAGGATTATTTAAACGTGCATCGATCAAAGCAGTGGTCTGAGAGATATTTATCAATCACGTCGGAACACAATAAAATTTGATCATGGTTTGCTATTCCGGTGAGTTTCGTTTAAACAATCACACTCTAACGATAACGTTTCAATATATACATAGGTGTCAGATCGATCGTGCAAATTTTATTACGAATGAAAATATCATACTGGCGAGTGAAAGCGATGATAATTATTCAAACAAAAAAAAGAAATCTTGTTAAACCATTGAGATTTCTCTTGGGAATATTAAAAATTAATGTCGTGACATTGATATCCTGACACGAAATTCATTTTCAAGATAGAATTTTGAAATTTAATATCATGGTATTAAATGTTGCATGAAGTGCACCATTTTAAGCAAAAGATTGACTGAGAGCTGCTTCGAAGTCTCTAGGGCAGGTCCTGGCCCATTTGTGCCCTCAAGTCTTGGGGTGCTACCTCCAAATCTCAACTTTATCTCAGGGCTTGATGATGGACAAAATATAACACAACTTTTCTATGCAACCCATTTCACGTATTTTGAGTATTTTATATGACATAGCCCTAGGAAATAAGGCCCAAGCCCTAGGAAATAAGCCCCAAGCCCTAGGAGATAAGCCCCAAGCCCCAGGAGCCAAATTTTGCCCCCTTTGCCTTAACAATTCTATATGGGAATAAAAGGAAGCTTTGTGATAGAGAGTGAATAAAGTCATGAAAATAACGACATGAAACGAGTGATAATGATCAAATAGTCAGCGGTAATTACTCGGTATGTTACACTTTCCTCGCACATTGTATAATCTCATTTCGGTTAATGCTGATCGGTGCGAGAAAGGCCGATGCATTATTCGGTTAATAGCATACAGTATGTGAATTTACGCTCGTATTATAATCCTGCAGCTTGTTGATGTAATTATCGACTGTGGCGCGAACGTCGTTTGACCTCGTTAACGGTGCACCGTTTGTTTCCAAGGAGCTTCCTCCGTTCCCTAATTCACCCCTTCCCGATCGGATCGAAAATTCCTTACCTCTATATTTTTTTCGTTACGTATATATGGAGGGAGGTAAACAAAAAATTGTCAGGCAGCGTAAATTTTCATTGTTCCGCGTATGCAGTTGGATGAAACGTAAACAGAAGCCACCGAAATTGTTGGTTTTTTCACGAGAACATACGAGAACAGAGGCACGTAGTCCTGCATGGCTTGCTATTTTCTCTGTTTTTCAGTGTTCCCCCTTTTCATTGTTGCTGCACATGCAAATGCAACGTTGGAAATTCGTGGAAGACTCTCGGGTCAAGGGTGACTACCTTCCCTTTTGTCAGGACCTCTCAAAATATGTCTTGGCTAAGTCATTTAAACCTATTCCAGATGCAGTTAAATTAGTTCTAATTCAATTTTAATAAAGTCCAGTTACGTCTCAGTTAGGTTACTTAGATATAGGTTAGGTTAGACTATGAGTACATTCTTTAATCCTGCAGGTACCTGCTCTAGGGGAGGAAGCCATATGGGATAACCCAAATACTTTGCAGGCTCGCAACCTAACCTAATCTAACTAATCTTTGTTTTGGACCTAGCCCACACTGATCCCCACTCCTGCGAGCCCACAGGTCACATGGGCAAGGCTGTACATAACTATAACAGTGGTATACCTTAGGTGCCCTATAGACTCAGGCTTCCACTACACAGTCCATGGGTTAAATTTGAGTTAAGTCTACGCGGAGAAGCAGAATAATTGCATTGAACCTATTCTCCAAGACATTACCGAACGATACAGGCTCGTAAGAGCGTTCAATTGTCAGTAGCAGTGCGAATATGCACAGGTGTCAGGTCCAAGATATCATATCGAGCGGTATCCTGAATAGGGCAAATTACTGATGCAGGTACACGTACATCATCACGCATCGACGCAACTGCCAGTTCAAGTTGTACGTGAAATAAACGTGAACTCCACTGAACATGAAGGAGCCATTAACATATCAAAGCATAATTACACATTTTCATTCATGACTTAACTATTTCCAAGTGGGTAGCAGGCACTTCCCATCGGTTCACAAGATGCACTCTTTCATTTTGGTTTAATTAGTAATTAAAAGGGTGAAAACGTTTGAAAAATGGATTAAAGGTGGAGAGAACAATGATAATTTAGGGTTCAATGAACGATCGGGAAATTTTCCCGCGCATTTCTCCGGGGGAGAATAAGGAGCGTTCGATTTAGGGCTCAGATACCATGGAAACCAAACCGAGGAGAGTTGCTTAATTACCTCGACTCGTTTAAGCGGGGAACGTCTATTAATGGCCGTGCTTGCCTTTGGGTCAAAGATCGAAGCTCTCGTTTTTCCAGCTAATTGGCGCCATCGCGGCGCCTAACTTAGACGAACATCTCTCATTCTGATGGAGGTGTTAACGTATAACTAAGCGATGGTCAGGTGGATCAAGGTGAAATTAAAATTCAGTTAGGTTAAGGTCCTAGGTAAGTCACATTTACAAGCTTATGTCATGAATGAATTAGTTATACTAGATTTAAGTTCAAGTTGATTTAGGTTAGGTCTGCGACGGTTTAAGATTCCAGAAGCTTTTATCAACACGCGAAAGACATTTCGCGACGGAAATGTCAATTTAAATTGATGTAGCCTGCCTACGGGTGTCCTCAATCCGCAATCAATACCTCCCTATCCAAAATGTTAGCAGCAGTAGCAGAAATCCTTGAAACTTTGAAAAAAGAATGTCTAAAGCACTCGATGTTCCCTGAGACTACGTTGTCCTTTGCTATGCAAACAGAGGAAAGCTCTGTCGATCGGGACCAAAGGCTGTTCGAACCGGGTCCCTGAGGCATTTAGACGTCACAAAGGTTAATTAGCTAGAGTGGGTCGACTTTTAAGAAAGCCGAGCGGAATAATTTCCCGTTCAGGCGAGGAGGTGAACGCAACTGCGTTGCGCGACGCGGGCTTTTCATTAACGAGAAAGGGGCAGATCACGAGCCAATAATGAATAGCTATCCGCATTATCTAACGACAATACACTGGGACCATTGTTTCCAGTCGCCGCCGGTTACTCGTCCCTCCAGCTGAACCTCCTTTTACGTAACGACCGAGGGACGCTCTAACTACGGAAACACGGCACAGAAAAACTCGCGGCAGCAGGGGATTTCCACGAACCTAGCCCTGGGAGCGGTAAACACTCGTGGAAGTAGCGAAAGGTGGGGCAGAAGGCGGCAGCAGCAGAGGGCTGAGTTAGTTCTTCCTCCTCTTCCAAGAATTATGCCCTTGATGTTTCTTACAAGTTCGCTAATTATCGTGAACAAGTCCGCCAACGCCTCCCTCGCTTGTAGGTAAAAGGAACAAGTCCTAGCGCAAAGAGGAATGGGCACCTGCTGTGTCCTAAGGCAGCCAGTACACCAGAAACTATGGGATTATGGCAGGAATCTGACTTACCCTCGTTCTTGTTGTTTCCTATCAAGATCTCAGTGTCCTTAAAGTCAGCCTCTCGCAGGAGATCGAGTGGATGTTTGGGTAGGAAGATGCCATCTATGGTGGGCGCCGATGGGAAGCCCAGGATGCCCCAGTAGCTGTTCCACTGTTGCACGGAGATGGTCTTGGCGTCGACGGACCTCATGCAAGCCATCACTCTAGCCGGATTTTCTTGAAGCATAGTGGAGTTACAGCCGCAGTCGTCGACCAACACCCTGGCTACTTCGTTAGCCTTCTCCCCTGTCATGTAGCTCCAAGGTGCGTTCAGGGTACCGCTCTGAAGGATCCCCCGACGGACTAGGCCTCGCGTCACCGGGGAGATCAGGTGAAGAGACACGGAGCTACCACCAGCGGACTCTCCGAAGATGGTAATCAGATCAGGATCGCCCCCGAAGGCAGCTGCGTTATCGCGCAACCACCTGAGTGCCAGGGCTTGGTCCCACAGACCCATGTTACCTGGGGCTTCCTCGCTGTTGGTGAAGTGTTTGTTCAGGTACAGGAAACCGAACGCGCCCACCCTGTACTGCATGGAGGCGATGATAACGTTGCTGACTGCTGCCATGATGTCTGCGTCGTAGACATCCAGGGTGGCAGTGCCGCTCATGAATCCTCCGCCATAGATCCACACCAGCATCGGTAGCCCATTTTTTTCTCCATTGTTGGATGATTCCGACCCCTTATGCCTAAGACGATGATTCTTCTCAGGCACCCAGATGTTCAGGTACAAACAGTCCTCCGAGATGTTCGTATTCGGATTCCACATCTCTTCCCCCGGAAAGCCGGGAAAATACTCGTACCTCTCCTGGTAGCAACTGTTGGGCAACGCGCTGGCGTTCAGCACACCGTGCCAGGGTTCTATAGGCAGGGGCTTCCTGAATCTCAACGGCCCGATAGGGGGTTTGGCGAACGGGATCCCGTAGAATATGTGCACCTCCTTGTCCAACACGGTTCGCGCGAATCCACGGACCAGGCCGCTGGTGGTCTCCACCACCAGGGGGTCGTTATGCACGTTGCTCCTTTGCGCGGTCACGTTGGCTCTCGCCGAGCCTGTGCACACGAGGATCAGCAGAAGCAACGCGGGCAGCTTGTCCGTCATCGTGCGGCTTGGATAGAGTTGCAGGGCTCGCGAAGCACACCTGCCGAGACAGACTCAACAAGTTAGTGAGTGGGGGACCGGCCGTGAAGCCGGCTTTTGCGCGGAATCCTCTCCGTTCAGCCTCCACTCTCTAACCACGCCGTGTCTCGTTCTCTGTGCGTCTTCTAATTCACCCTGACGTATCGGAACATATACGCACCGACTCGCGCACGCACGCGCCCTGAATCACCGTTCTTCACCCTCCTTTTTTTTTCTCTCTACCCTTATCGCACGAGGTATAAGTCTTTCTTTCTTTGCTAACTCCGTGTCAAAGGGTGAACGTGTTTTTTTTTTTTTTTTATTTGCCACGGTTGCCACTTGACGCGGAAGGATTGATATCTCAACGGATCACCAGGGAAATAATCGCGATAGAAGTAACGAAACGGAGAACACGCAACGGACGTAGGATAAATTTTCGCGCGGCGGCCGGCGAGCCGCGTTGCACGGGGTCGACTGATCGTGGAGGCAGAGGTGGAACGGAGTAGAGGTGCGCCGTTGGCTGGTGGTGGTGGTGGTAGTGGAGGTGGCAGTGATGGTAGTGGTAGATGCGGTGGTGGAGAGTGTGCTGGCGCACACCTCACGCCTCTAGCGATGGCCATTCAATTCTCTTTGTTGCGAGTTTTGGAGCAATTTCATCTAAGGAAAGAGATCATGTCTGCTTGGTAAGCTATTAATATTCCCCAAGATCGAAGTGTAATCCAGGAACCTAGTTGATCTTGAAAAGTTGAAGCAAAGTATGAGATGTTTAACCTTCCTTTTTTTTTTGACAAAAAAAAACGTGAATCGTTTTTAACAAACTTTGTACTAGGGTTAAGGATGGTTTGTTCAAATGGATTCGATGCGCCTTAAACCCATCCCTACCCGCATCTACAGACAAGTCGATCTTCAAACACTGTCCTTGGTCGTTTGTCTATCTACACGCCCTCGTAGTTTCAATCTCATTCCGGCGTCCCTTAATCACTCTGTCCGACCAAGAAATCGCATCCCCTTTACAGTTCAAGTGAACATTGTGGAGAGTCAATTTTTCTATTTTGCAGACGATTTAATTGGTTGGAAAGAAACGCAGAACAGCAGAACCTTTTTATTTTCTCAATTCAATAACTTCGCGGTTTCCAATAGTGGAGGAAACTGTTCAGTTTATACGATACTTTTTCAAATAATTCGATCGAGTCAGAAAAATACTAAAATTTTTCTCCCCCTTTCTCCAATAACTTCGTTTTTACAATGATAGCAGAAAATATAGGGGAGAAAGGTGAGCTAAAGCTGGGGCAAGCTGGTTCAATCCCAACCATAACCAAACCACATTTCACCCTTCGCAAAGGCACAACCGAAACGATTCTGTTTCGACGCAATATGATCGTCTTAATTCCATTCACCCTCTTCTTACCCCAAAGGTAAACAGGCCGCAAAAAGCCCCGTTTATCAGCCCCATCAAAGGGGGATTTTGTCAAAAAATTGAGGCATTATCAGACTACAAGGAGAAGACAAATTATGATTTCTTTAAGGTCTGTTAGATTGCATCATGGTTCAGATCTAAACCAGTTAGGCTCAAAGACAAATAATCCTCTTCAAATATCGAAAAACAAAAAAGAAAAGAATGAAACGATTCCCCTAACGAGTCTCCGCCAATTACACTGTAGTTATCCATTTTCGAGTTCTTCGTTTCGAAGTGGATCTCTTTCGTTCTAATCACATCCCTGCCCTAAAAGGCCTCTTTACACACAGGTCAGTTCGAGTTAATCCCAGGCTAGATAGAATCTCCTTCCGTATCTCTGTACCCCTGGATCGGGATCTCTTGTTTATCATGCTCAGGCTCTCTCTTTTACCCTTCCTGAACCAACAGCTGAAACACCGCAATTCCAGCTCGTCCAATGGAGATAATAAGAACGATGTCACTCCATGAGTTTATTCAAGGGCTTTTGAAACTTAAAAGGATTGATTCTAATTCAAAAGATCTGCGTTGGATCTTTTTGTGGTTGTTGGAATTTCACGATTTTATAGATTGCATTGGGCCAGCTCTATTCCTTGTAAATTTTACCTGGACCTAACCTAACCTAACCTAAGCAAAACATAGCAGTTTAGGTTAGGTTTACTGTTTATAATGGCGTCCATATTAAACATAGCAGTTTAGGTTAGGTTTACTGTTTATAATGGCGTCCATATTAAACATAGCAGTTTAGGTTAGGTTTACTGTTTATAATGGCGTCCATATTAAACATAGCAGTTTAGGTTAGGTTTACTGTTTATAATGGCGTCCATATTAAACATAGCAGTTTAGGTTAGGTTTACAGTTTATAATGGCGTCCATATTAAACATAGCAGTTTAGGTTAGGTTTACTGTTTATAATGGCGTCCATATTAAACATAGCAGTTTAGGTTAGGTTTACTGTTTATGATGGCGTCCATATTAAATGATGCTGCACAGTGCATATTTAAATCATTAACCTAAATTGAGTTTGGCTTAAAAACAGTTCTATCATCGAAATTGATGAACGTCGTTTAAACTTTGAAACGTGTTGAAGCTACAAAACGCGTAACATTATAAACGAATATTTGTCAGCGAATCAGAGGCAACGAATTGGAGAGGCCACTCGAGCGAGTCGCCTCTCTTCGGCCCTTGTGTAATTCATTAAATTACATCGATTACACGGTCCAGCGTGTTGCATAGACCCGTCGGAGCTTTAACTACGATTAATCGACGAACGATTCGCAGGCTATGGGATTCGAAGCCGACCATTTTATTACCTTATCCGCCGGATAGCGTCACCAGACCTCTGGCTTCTCCTTTTTCCCTTTCGCGCCCTGCCTCGTTTTTCCTCTTTACCGAAAAGGTCAAGCCGGTCCCAGACTTTCGTCGAACGCTTTAGCAGCTTGAAAAATTGCCGTCCATCCTCGAAATGAAGATTTACACGCTTCCCTCGATCCTGAAGAATATTTGTCGAGCTACGAATTAACGAGCTGAGGATTCTTCGAGTTTGCTTTAAGTTCCTCTCGAGTTCATCTGTGAACTTCTGAAATATTATTGATCCTCCAAAATGAAGAATATATATAACTCCATATTTGAAATCTAAGTTGATACCTTTAATTGGCCCGGATACGTTTACAATTAGATTTGGCTTTGGTCTAAATTGAGACTCCATTGAACCGAATTGAACACGTACTAAATATGATTTATATTTAACATGAAATTGATGAATGCAGTTCACAGTAAATCGGAGCTGAAGTTGAATCGGATTCAATTAAATATGGGTACAATTTAAATTAAGGTTAATCGTGTTAAGTTCAGCCCAAAATACGTGTTATTTGAAAAAAGGCGGAAGCTATTACTTTTTCATCCAAGGTATTAAACTAGTCGAAGAAGAGAAGGAGGGAAAGTACGTCAGGTACCGGCTGGTTCTATCCACCTGAACTGTGATTCAAAGTTCTAGGTCGACTGATGGTCCTCTCCCTCCACCGTCCAGTAGAACGTTGACAACGTTCCATGGGGTCCTGATCAGTTCTGGAAAGAAACAGTACCAGCACCTGCGCTACGTAGGTCGGGGGTTGCCAGCAGGTGGCAGGTTCGCCGCGTATCGATTTCTTACGAATCCAGCCGGGCTTGGAATCGCTATAGGACTGCTCTCGAGTAAAACGACCCTGAAGCGAACCTCTCGACCTATCTCGAACTTTGTGCAACGCCCGATCGTCCCCTGGTCGAACCAGTCCCGCGGGGGACATTAAGAATAACGGAAGGACGCAAATCTTGACGAACTAATCTTTCAATTCCTCGTCCCTGTTCAAACCAACTTCCGAGTAGCCGGAGCACTCGATGGCCTATGATCGTGGATGCTGAAGAATCCACTTGGTTGACTGGAAAATTGGTTATTCTTGATGTAACATTGGTACCTGAGTATTGAAACCACGTCCCAGGTGGTTTCAAGGTGGATCATGAATTATGCGACATCTGGTTAGGTTAGGTTGGATCCGGTTAATCATCTGGTGGTGTTGGATGTTAAAGATTCCACCTGGCTAACTTGACAATTGAGGGTCCCTGATGAAAGGTGATTGTTAATTGAGGTTAGCCGACTGGAAATAAACCATTAATGATTTACAGGTCGCCCTCTACGTCAGCAGGCGTCAGAAAACCGTTACTCCATGTTAGTCGTTCGCCTTGATTAAGGTTAGGGACGTCGGAGTTAGATTAGTCAGGCGCAGGCGAATCCTTTGTTTAAATATCGAATTCAAAAACCCCCTTGTCATCAAATAATCCCAGGACTATCAAATAATCATCGACCTATCAGCGAATTAATTTCTAATTAAATCGAGCATACCAACGTTGTTTCTTAATTGAAAGGCTGGTTGAAACAAACAGCGTTCTTTGGGCAAATAACAAACAAGCCTGATCGAAGCGCGATTTTTAGAGACGGTCACGCGATCGGAAAGCTTTTGTTTGATGTTTGCTTCACGGGTGCATGCTCTTTGCGTTATTGCGTCGAACAGGCTGGGGGAAAATAAAAACCCTTTGAGAGGACGAGGAAAAAGTAGAAATAAAGAGGGACGAGCAGACGGTGGACGAATGAAAATTGAAAACATACAAAAGCTGATCCAGAATTCGGACGAAGACGCGGGATGAATTTGTCAGGGGAGAACGGATTATCGATATAATCGGGAATCGAGCCACGTCCGACCTAACTGGGATCGTTACCGGCCCGAAACCTGGCTACATAACCTGTCCATCTAGCCACCATTGCATCGTACACGAGGAATTTTAACGATCAGATAAGTTCCCATCATTTATCCCCCGAACGTGATTTTAATAACACCAAAGAAGGTAAACCTTCATTTTGGGGGACCAAAAATTAGTGGTTCAAAAATATCAAATCTTGTAGTTTTTAACCTGAAATATCCAAAAATACAAATAAAAAGTTTAGGAAACCAATGGTTTAAAAAAATAGAATTGTGTAAAAATGTACGTATTTAGTGGAATTGGACAGGTTAGTACGATGCCATATTGTTTCTACCCATAATCTGATTGGTTCGTTTACCTTATTTAAAAATATATGTATAAAAATTATTTCGTATTCAGGTGGCCAAAAAGATTTACATTCGCGAGGCGGCCGGAAAATTTAATATAGACCTAACCTAACCAAGGCATTTATATGAGTAGAAGCAATATGGCATCATAACCTGTTAAATTATGTTAAATATGTACATTTTTACTTTTAACTTGCATTTTTAAATGTTTCAGGTCGAAAACCTATAAGATTTGATATTTTTTAACCAAAAATTTTTGGTCCCCTAAGTGCAGCCCCAAAGAGAAATAGTTTCTCAATAATAATATATTCGTATTTTTCGCATATTACGTAGCACGATTTGAGTTGAGGTCAGGTTAGGTGAATTATAGGTTCGGTTTAAGATACATCTCATTAAGCATGAATTCCATATGTGGGGAGAGAAGTATTGGAACTGGATTATGCTAATTTGGATTTAGATTTAT